TGTGTGTGTGTGTGTGTGTGTGTGCCGCAGATCTGTTGACATTAAAATGACATGTAAACAGACACTGAGCTGATAGTTGGTGATGATGATGGAGACACGTTGCAGGTACATGTCCTGACCGGTGGTTTCACTGGGTCAAGCAGGAAGCAGGAAGTGTCTGCTCTGCTGGGGGATGCTAATAAGCAGTGACACTGTCTGGTGAGGGCAGGAAGGATTAGAGGAAACGAAAATAACCCGCTTCTCTTTCTTGCGTGTGTGTGTGTGTGTGTGTGTGTGTGTGTGTGTGTGTGTGTGTGTGTGTGCTGAGGAAATGGCTGCTCTAACACAGTTTCTCATTATGATTTAAGTGTCAAAAATTCACTTAGAAATATGAGCTTTTTAATACAAGACTCATCTGTCTTAAACTTGAGCAATATTAGAAACTGTTATTTATAGCTGTTTCTGTTAAAGCTTTTTAGCATTGCCACATCTATTATCAGTAGCTGTCGTTATATAAAGAATGCATTGTTATTCATTATGCTTCATTATATTGTTGAAGTGTGTAACTCTAAGTCCTCTTTCTCTCTCTCTCTCTGTCAGATTATCTGTGCAGCCCGGACGAGAACATCTACAACATCGACTTCACCAGGTTCAAGATCAGAGACATAGAGACGAGCACGGTGCTGTTTGAAATCACCAAACCTCCCACAGGCAAGTTATCTATCTATTTATCCATCTACCCACATATCTATCTATCTATCTATCTAAAATATTGTGTTTCCTTTTCTTTGTTCCATCACAAACTAATCCTCACCTCAGATAAATCGGGGGAGAAGAGAGATATCGACCCAAACGCCGGCCGGTTTGTCCGTTACCAGTTCACACCGGCTTTCCTCCGGCTGCGGCAAGTTGGAGCCACGTAAGTGAGAACGTGTTTCGATATTTCGGTTTCCAACAGAATAAATGCTTTGTCCTCTGCGTTTGGGATTTCTCTGTCTCACGCCCCTCTATGTCTCCATCTTCGTCCCGGCAGCGTTGAGTTCACGGTTGGAGACTTGCCTATAGAAAACTTCAGGATGATCGAGAGGCATTATTTCAGAGAGAAGTTGCTCAAGAGCTTTGACTTTGAGTTTGGCTTCTGCATGCCGAGCAGCAAGAACACCTGTGAACACATCTACGAATTCCCTCCTCTGTCTGAGGACATCAGTAAGTCTACACACACACACACACACACACACACACACACACACACACACACACACACACACACACACACACATATTATGGACAAATGTAATGGATAATGTCTTTATTCCACCTTGAGACAATCATCTTTCTTCTTACATGAGGGTAGGGATGTGAGAAGAATGACAGAAGGGATGAGGGTAGGGGCGAAGGAAGAAGGATATAAGGTGAAGGATTGAGGGTAGGGATGAGGGAATGAAAATAAAGGGATGAGGGAAAGGGGATGAAGAAATGAAGGGAAGAGATGAGAGAAGGAAAATGAAGGGATGAGGGAAGGAGGATGAAGGAATGAAAGTAGTGATGAGAGAATGAGGATAGGGATACAGGAAAAAGGATGTCAAGTGAAGGAATGAGGGAAGGATGAACCTCCTAAACCCAAGATAACAGGTTAACTGCATTGAATAATAAAATAAACGTTTTTATTTTTTGTTCCTGTTTTGTTGTTGGAATCTTCTCAACCCCGAGGCTGGCGGCCATTGTTCTCACAGCTGTGATTTGTTTGTGCGTTCCCAGTCAGGGAGATGATCCTGCACCCGTACGAGACGCAGTCCGACAGCTTCTACTTTGTGGACAATAAGCTGGTGATGCACAACAAGGCAGACTATTCTTACAACGGTGGGACGTAAAGGGGACACACACACCGACGCGAGACAGGTGGACACGCAGACTGTCGTGAGAGAGGATCAGAGTGAACTGGCAGGACTGTCACTCCAGTCGTCTTTCTTGCTCCTTCTCTGTCTCCCTCTGAGAGAATTCAACAGAGGGAACACCCATTCAAATGTGTGTGTGTGTGTGTGTGTGTGTGTGTGTGTGTTTCTGTACTTTGTATGATCGTCTGTACTGTAGCGCTGAGTCGATTTCTGGTTGATTCTCTATCCACTGTCTATTATCAGTTTTTGACCATATTGGAATCCTCGTGTTCCAAGTAGGAACATCTGCTGGATCAAGTGCGACACCTGATGGTTAAAGTCGTTATACCAGTCTGGTGCGAATTTGGCTTAGTGTCAAATTGGTTTGTTTGATTTTTACCCAACCCTACTGCACAGTGTGTGTGTGTGTTTGTGTGTGTGTGTGTGTGTGTTTGAAGTATGAATACTGTGTGTGGTAGAAATATATGAATTTAAACGTCAGCTGTGTGGTCATCAGGTTTAAAAAAGGTCTAAATAGATTTCCAGTAGGTGTTGGCACATTTTCTTCAGTAGACAGTAGTTAGCTATTAATTAATGTTTCCTTTTTAAGTCTGTTCCTTATTTCTTATTTCCTGGAGTCACGGGACCCGTGTTGACCATTTGGGTACCCACTATTTGTTTTTACTGTCACTGTTCAAAGCACAACAACTCCCAGAGCCGACACATGTTTTTTGCGTAGTTTCTGCCTCTGATAAGTCACAAGCTCATAATTTTTGTTCGGAATACTGAAGTGTTTTGATCTGCTGTTATCTGAGGCCATTTATTTATTATCACCAATACATCACACAGTAAATCAGCAACCAAACTACCAAACCCATTGCACCAACATTGCAAATCATTAATCAGAAATTACTTGAATGCACCTGTTTGAGTTATTCATTGGTTCCAAGTTGATGAAATCTAAATCTTTGGAGACATAATAGCAGCAAAAAGTAATGAAACAGGCCGGAGGGAACTCAGGTTGGATCGGATCGACTTGAATGTCATGTACAGCAGATGTATTTATGACCGTCTTTGACTCTTGTACAAATTATTTTGAGCCAAGGTAAAGTTTACGACAAATCTAACGTTGTTGAGATGAAAAAATAAATAAATAAAGATTTATGGGACTTTTTTGAAATATCTCGTTGTCTGATTGTCAAAATGTGGATGTGAAGAGATTGAAGACCTGTTGTTGACATGATGATGCTTTATTCTCACAAAAGAAATGTTTCAGGTCAACAAAAAGTGGAAATAAAAGCACTGCTGAGACGCTGTCCCTCCACATATTCAGTTTATTACATTCACCTGGGATGAATCACAATAGAAACTGTCTCCGTCACCATCGTAACCTACTGGCAAGCTTTTTATCTCCAAGTTGTCCTTCAACCACCTTCCTGCTATTGATTTGCGCACTTCACTTCCTCATTGCTCAAAAACACTTCAATCAGTGTCACCCCGGCTTTGGGTGCAAGTCCAGATAACAACTGAAGAGGCCCTGTTAAGGGAATAAGTCAACACCACAGTCAAGGCCCAACAGTTTCTTTAACATTAAGTCAAGCTACATCAAATCGCACACACTCATGGACATCGTTTCCCTAAATTTTGATTGTTCTTTAATCACTATCCGTGAATAAGTCCCAAGGAAATTAAAGAAAATGTCAAAATATACAATGTTAAAGTAGAAAAAGAATCCTGAATGTGACCCCAAATTGAATGGCTTCTTTCTTGCCTTTGTCCAATCCTTCCACCAAGTTTGTGGAAATCCATTGAGTAATCATTGCGTAATCCAGTTGACAGACAAACCAGCATATGTACAGGAGTGAAAACTGATTGGCAGAGGTAATAAATCTCAATAGCTCAGTTTTATATCTTGTTTTCTATCTGTACAAAAATGTGTTCATCAGCCAACACTTGGACAAGAAAGAGTGTGTTTTCCAAAAATGTCAAACTCTTCCTTTAATGCCTTCTATAATACACAAATAAATACACAACTAAATCTGCCACTTTGATTTTTACAAAAACACAAGTGCAGAAATATAAAGACACAGTGTGACCAAAACACTACAGTGAAAAAATAACACATGCAAAAAAAAAGTGACCACAGTATTCATTTAAATCACTGACATAGTTCAGTTTTAACTCAATTACGTGATGTCTGTGAACACAGTACTATCACGTTATGGTAAATAATCAGTAAAACAAACAAAGTTTACTTCAGTTTCACATGATCTGTCAATGATGAACATGTCGATGAGATTACGTCCCAGTCACTGGATTCACACGAGGAAGTGTTGGACACCAAATGGAGTTTATCTCAGTCTGGGTGTAAATTCATCTGGTTTTACTGTAACAGGGTGATGTGTGAATGGAACGCTACAGATAATGTAGGTCTTAGTCATCGTACTTTCCCCAGCACTTTTTCTTGAGCCAGCTATCTTCCCTTCTCAATTTAAATAAACGTTACAGCTACAGCTCTTAAGATTAAGTCCTGAAAACCTTAATTTCTCTCCAGCTTCTCTGCGAACACATGAATCCTACAACCCATATTATTGTTTTTGGCTGACTTTAGGTTATTTTACTGGGGCAGCTGTGGTTCAGGAGATCGAGCGGGTCATCCACTAACCAGAGGGTTATTGGTTCCAGAGGATTAAAGTGTCCTTGGGCTAGATAACAAACCCCAAATTCCCCCCTGACGGATGGATGGCAAAACTGTGCTTTGAGTGATCATCAACAAGTTTCATATAAATACAGACCATTTGCCATTTATTTCAAATTTGTGTAATCCTGAGATATTTAGATTATTAACCTCTTGATTTAAAAAATGTACAGTTACAATTATTTTATTTAATTTTAGCATTTTGTTGCTGATCTGATCATGAATATTTTTATAAACATCTTCATAAAAGAGTGAAATACTTTACAGCAGCCTTAAAAAAACCATCCTGTCCTTTGTTGTGTCCGTTGTCACTCAGGGTTGGCCATGTGTAGCGTTGACCCAATCAGGGATGTTGCCCAGGTCAAACAGGGCGTATCCCCAGGTGTTGAGGCCCAAATTTATGGTCAAAATCCCAACGATGTTCAGTATGAAGCCAGCTTTCACCTGGAGAACCACACACATCAGATGACCACAGTCTCAGATTTAGTGGCTTAAAAGGTGACGTATGGACGAGAGGCCCAAAAAGAGGAAAAGGTTTGCTTGAGAAAATATTCTCAATCAATACAAAACCAGGACTGTAGCATTCAAGAACCAAACGGCAACTTGTCGGTACAGAGGCCCGCAAGGAGTTTCAGTACACTCCAAAAACTGATATGTTGAAGTAAACATAGGAAAACATATCTCATGACAGTTTGTCTCTAAAATGTAAACAAAAATCTGTGAAATCAAATTGAAGCTTGTTTTATAGCATGAAATAATGAAATAAAACAGCACTTAGCATTTTTTATTTTGGTCGATGTTACATCTGCTAATATGGAGGGTGCGGTTGATGACCTATACTGTAACCAGCCACTTGGGGGTGTTTGGGAGGTTTTGGCTTCACATTGGGGGAGTTGTCATGTCCTCCATCTTTGTATTCATCAATGTATGTTGTATACAACGTTTTGGCTCTTTTGCCCCTCTGAGCCTTATCAACGTGAATGATTTGTCTGTGATATGAACAACAGATTTGTATGACTCTCACCATGTCAATGACTCTCAGTCCTCCAAAGGCGAAGGCGATGGCGTTGGGTGGTGTGGCCACCGGCAGCATGAAGGCCAGAGAGGCAGCGAGGGTGCAGGGCAGCATCACATACAGCGGGTGTATCTTGATCGCTATGGCCTATAAGAAACATGCAGCACATCACAGTTTGATACATGGAGGAGAAGTGTGTGCACAGCCGTGTGAGCATCTGGACATTTATTGTATTGAGTTTACCATTGAGCCGAGGATGGGCAGGAACAGGGTGGTGGTGGCAGTGTTGCTGGAGCACTCAGTGAATGTGGCCACCAGCAGGGAGAGCAACAGCGAGATGGCGAAGCTGGGAATTTTCTCCAGAGGGGTCAAGCTTTCTCCCAACCATGTGGACAGTCCTGATTTCTGTGAGGAGAGTTGATCTTTTTATGAAACCCCAGAAACTTTGTGCAGTTATTGTTCATTCACGTGACTCCAGAACTTGTTCCAGACATGGAAATTGCCTTTCACATGAAGCAGGAGATTGTCGAGGGAAACAGGAAAATGAGCACGGAGGATGCAGGACATGACATAAATTCTGCTGCAGAAATCATGTGTAATTGTTTACAGAGCGTCGCTCTTACACATAAAGCTTTTTAATAACTTATATTATTATTGTATGTTCCCAGGGTCCATGGCGATTTTTGACCACTGCTCCAAAAGACCAGAAGGTTTTCAATATATAACGATATGAAATACAGAAAGACAGGAACTGTTTTCGATAAATGTTAAGTTGTCAAATTCTTCCCGTCTGATGTACAAGAGAACATTATAAAGTCAGCCCTCGTTGGGTTTTTACCTCACTGCCAGCAGCCAGAGCAAAGCCTCCTCCGAGCAGCAGGATGATGTGCCAGGGCATTCGCTCATGAACTATCTGCCAGTTCAGCAGATTGGGGGGGGAGTTAATCTCCTTACCTGCAAGAGCCAGACGAGGTTTGAACATGAAACAATGATTGGTTTGAAAAAGCAGCATATTTATCTGCTGGGTAACCATCTCTCATGAGCTGAGGTCCCATGCACAAACTAGAGCCTGACCCACTGATGAAATATTTCACAAATATATCAGCTGATATCTTAGGAGGAATTAGCCTTGAATCCCAAGATGTCATTATCAAACCCTAATCACAAAGAAATTTTGATTTGATAATTACAGTTAAACTAGAAACTTTACTATAAATAAGTATCAATAAAAAGACAAATACATCAACTATCGACAACTTGAATCAAAAACACAAACACAAAAGCACAGATAAACCGATATGTCTCATATTGGCCGATTAATCAGTCAGGCTCTAATTCAAACATCAAAGTGTAAAACTAAATGGTTTTTTTTGTGGGGTCAAAATAAATATTTCACCTGCTTCGTCATAACCGTAGCCTCCGAACTTAGGCCGCTGGGAGGGGATGATGAAGAAGAGCATCGACATTAAGATGGCGACAGTTCCATCAGACACAAACCTGAGAAACACAAAATAATAATATCCAACATATTGTATTTATTTTAATTATGCTGCTGCCGTGTTTCTGGTTCCGTGTCACAGTGCAACGTCCGCAGAGAACAATGGAACTACAAACAAATGTGTTTTCATTGATGCGAAACTTAGTTGTGCACAAAGATTTGCAAATTTTGAGGGACTCAGAGAGAATGAATGGGACAAATTCTTAAGCTTGACGACTGCTCACAGAGATGTGAAGATTCAAGTTGTGAGTCAAAACATTAATGGGGAAAATTAAGGGAAATTTTAACTCCAGGACCACAAACATTAAAGATAGTTTGTAACTCTATATTACAGAGCATCATAGTGTTCAAAGCGGATGTGGATGTAATCAAAACCATGATGATGAAGGTGCTCTATCCTTAATAAAGATGTATTTTTTACCCAAATATTAACAAAGTACCCAAATCATGACCTTTAAAACCTAAAACTAAATCCTTCCAAAGATGTCACAATGTGAGTTGTAAAAGTTTGGGATCAGAAACAATGTCAGAATCATACTTATGGACCATCAACATGACATTTGATTTATTGGTTTTTAAAGGTTCAGTGTCTACGATTTAAGTGAAAGGAAACTCTCAGAAATTGAATATAAAATAAATCTATTGATGTTTTCACTAGTGTGTTTCATCTAAATTGTACAAATTGTTGTTATTTTACTCTAGAATGAGCGCTTTACATTTAAATACTTTATATTTACATCAGGAGTGGCTCCTCTCTAAGGAGGCCGGCATATTTTTAAAAACTTAACAAATGCCAGAGACTCACGCCTTTTCCTTGTTGAAGAGCACCGTGGCCCAGCCATCGACGAAGCCCGGCTCCCTGGTGAACCACAGGAGCACCAGTGTGGCGAAGATGATGAGCACCGCCACCTCAGAAAACTTCATGCCACCCAGCTTGAGGTACTCCTCCCTCATCACCGCGCGCGCCTCGTGATCTTTCTTTATGCCACAGCCAAATGATTTCTTTATGCTGTGGAGGAAAGTACAAAGTGCAACGATGATTGGGGAGAAAATCATAGAATCGTCTGAAGACTGAGGAAGTTAAAGTGAAACACTGATACATATAATTGTGACAAGCTTTACTGAATATTTCTCGTTGACCTGCAGTGGAAGGCTGTAATGAAGTACATTTACTTCATTTATGTACTTCAATAATGTTTCATGTATCTGTATTTTACATTTATGTTTGGTACATTTTACTTTTACTTCACTGTAGTTACCAGCAAATATCAGTACTTTCTGCTCCACATTTCTTTTATAATTCATTTTTTCAAAGTAATCAATATTCAGACTTAAACCTGGTTCACTTGTCCAATCACAATCGGCAGGTGTTAGACCCCACCTCCTTCAACAATAGCAAAGCGAGAGCTCATTGCCAAGACTCCCCCAGACCAGAGAAACTCTACAGCCTGTTAGCTTAGCTTAGCATAAAGCCTGAAAACAAATCTGCCCTCTAACCCATCCATGCCCACAGAATCATCTGCATCTGACTGTGCGAGACTGAAGTGGCCTTACTTGAAACCCAGGAACATGAACTGAAGCCAGATCCAGGAAAACAGAAGCATGAGAACCATGTTGGGGAACGAGAAGATGAACCAGCTGGCGAAGTTGATCACGTCACCATTTCCAGGAAACATCCTTCACAAAAAAAGACAACACAGATGCAGAGGTGAGGAGAGGAAAACCAGCAAACACGTATACAACATATTCTACAATATTCTCCTGTTGGTTGAGTGATGTTCATGTCATGGTCTTACTTGTCGATTTGGCCTTTGAGGATGAGGTTGGGGGTCGAGCCGGTGAGCGTGGCCGTGCCTCCGATGCTGGCAGAGTAACACACACTCAGACTCATCCCCTTCTTCATGAGTTGGTACCTTGCCTCCATCGCTTGTCTCTTGGACTGCAGACATGACTCTGGACTCAGCTCATGTGTATCTGCAGCCCGACACATCCAGAGGGATCAAATCATTGGGAGGTTTTACTCTCTAGAAAATGATCATCATGTTTTTACTTACACTCTGTGTCCTCCTGCTGAGTGTTGCTGTTGTTGTTGCTTATTTCCTGCTTAGTGGGTGTGGGCTCCATCTCAAACCCGTGGTTGACCTCAGCTGCAGCCTGAAAATCTCGCTCATCCGCCTGGATCTCGGTGGTTTTCAGCTGCTGCAGAATAGCGTCGGCGATGGGCAGCATCATGGCTGTGGAGGCCGTGTTGCTCATCCACATGGACAGGAAGGCAGAGACAATCATGAAGCCCATCATCAACCTGTGTCACAGGTCAGTGAGAGGAAATGACAATGAAATGATGGATGATCACAGGAAGTTACAGTCATGTACTTCCGCTAATATCCCTAAATTGAACATTTGCTATTTATTTCCATTTTCTGCACAACTTGCACCATTTGTGTACCATTCTCTCCTGAAGACAATAAGGGCCAAATGAAGGACTTGTGCAATGAGCCTAGCAATTTTAACAAGGGATGTCACTGAAATACATTTTATGTAAAGACAAATATCCTCGATATGAATGCTACCATCTTGTGCTTTTGACGTCATTTGGAGCCATAATCTGTGCAGTAGTTATCAGGAGATGGAGCCGCAGTATCAAGGTGCTGTCGATACATGTGCTCAACCAACTGCAACACAGTCTAAACTGTCAATCATGAATTTCCACGCCATTTCAGTATCAAATAACAAATTAAAACCAGACTTAAAAGAAACATGACCATATGAATAATCATCAGTGTGATGAAGCTACTTAAAATATCAAAAACCATCTTTGAGAAAAGTTTTATTTTTTATTTTGGCCCATGTCCCATCTGCTAACATATACGAGGCAGAGTTTATGACCTATACTACAAAAAATCACCAGGGGGCATTCCAGATGATTTGGCTTCACTTTTTTGGAGTTGTCATGTCCACCATCTTGATATACAGTCTATGATTTCCACTATAAAGTTCTTTGTGTTGACCCTATAGTTGAAGGTTAGTTGTTTGTTCGCTCTAGCGTGCACAGATGAGCGGTATCATTTCTTACAGGGCTGGACGAACGCCAATCAGCAGCAAAACTCGTAGGGCGATGCGTTTATGGAGGTTACACCGCTCCACTGCAATGGCCACCAACAGGCCGCCAATGAACAACATGTTAGAGTCTTTCAGGTATTCAATACTGACCTGAAACAGATCACACACAGACACAATCATCAGCAGAAGAATCTAAAGTCCAAACGTGCAAAAAACCAGCAGTAACTTCCTGAGCTGCTGGAGTAACCTGTTAACCTGTGGTGCAACATCCGGAATGTTTAACAAGCTGTAAAAGTTGAACACTGCCATCAGAAGATTTGACCTTGTCTGTAAAACTAGAATACATCCTGGAAATAACTAACTGGAAGGTCAAATTAACACTGAGTGCACAGAGCCTAGTTAAGGCCTCTTAACTGTCACATGTAACGGGTGGAGTCCAGTAATGTCTGTGTTGTCCTTCATTAGATGGAAAGGCCGGACCATGAATGTCTTTTCAAACCAAGCGCAAAACAAATCCTGCCATCAGTTTTTACATGTGTGGAGCCTCTCTCCTGGAGGGGAGAGGTGAAGCAGCAGACAAGTGGAAGTATGGTTAGAGGACTTTATCAATGAAGCACAAACGTGTACATGAGGTCTGTACCTCTGCGGCTGTCATGATGCCCATCATAGGAAAGAGGACGACTGGCAGCAGGGCGGTCACAGACAGAGGCAAACACTCTGTGCACCAGAACAGAGCCATGAGGATGATGGCGTAACCACATCGTGCTTGCTGTAAACAAAGACACATGTCGGGGTCAGAGGTGGAGGGAAACAGAAGAAGCGAAAACACGTAAACTCAGACAGGCACACTTCTTCACGTCTTTTAGCTGTCACATCCTCTGATTTAACTTCGACTCTTTAAAAGGCAATAATCAGACTTTACACAGTGAGATTAACCCTTGATCATAAAACCAACACTTAGTCATGCTTTTGTCACCTCAGATAATCCTTTATCAGTCCTGATTAAAATGACTTTTCCTCCAGGACCGTTTAAACCATCCGACAGAAACATTTCCACTGCCGCTCAACTCAACAGATCACAGACAGCAAGATTTAGCAGGATTACACAAAAACAACTGAATTTGATTCCTATATAATTTTGTGGAGGTGTGGGACATGACCCAAGAAAGAAGCCATTCAATTTTGGTGCATTTTCAAATCAAGGGTTGGGTCCTCGATTTTTATTTCAACTTCTGTAACATTGCAGTTTTTTATCAGGTTGATTTCTCAGACAATCATTTATTGGCCTTGATGAAAAAACCTGACATGTTTAGGAGACTGATAATTATTCTTGCAATTTGATACCGATCCAGATGTAGTGAATTTAAATGTGGTTACATCAGGCAAGGCTGTTTTAGTTATAATAATATATTATATTAATATATTAGTTTTAGCTGAGTGACATTCTAGTTCAGTATATGGTTTAATCGGCCTGGATGAAGTGCATGTACATGACACCTTAAGAAGTAGGTTGAGACAAGGTCATTCGGTTCATTCCACCTGAGACACGGTCAATGTTGCTTGTGAAATTGTATGAAAAAGGCATGTGAGTTTTTATGACAGAAAACTCCCTCCACAAAGGCAGTAAAAGTTAGAAAGATATAAGATACTTCTCCTCTGTGCATAATAGGCGTGGGCGTTATGTCTGCAGGTTGCCTGGACGTATGCTCCATTCTTCTGAGCACAATTTCACAGGAACACCTTGAAGGAATTTCTTCAATTTGGAACAAATGTTGACTTCAACTTTAGATTTGGTGGTCAAGGTCACGTCACAGTGACCTCACAAAACATGTCTTGGCCTCTTTAGGGAATGTCTATATTTTGATCACTTGTCATTTTAGATTTCAGTGGTCAAAGGTCACAGTGGCCACAACCTCTTCTCCTGCTTTTTTGTTTGACTGACACTGATAAGAATTTGTCAGATAAGATTCTACCAATGTTGGTACACATGTAAAAACACACAAACACTCACCGACGTAGGGCTGATGAGCGGCAGAGGAAGTAGTATGAACGGAGTGATGGTGACGATGAAGTAGTTCCTATGGTACCACAGCCACTTCAGCCAAACACCCATGACTCTGCTGGAAAAAAAACAAGCAGAAACCCAGAGGCCAAAATAAAGTGTCCAGATGTTTTCCTGGTCACTCAGAGCAGAACCCTGCTGAGTAGAGAGAAGACAAGACAGAGGAGCAGGGAAAACTTCTAATTAACACCCAGGTCAGGAGAGCTGACGGTGACGATGTGCTCTGCAGACCAAAGACGTTGATATGAACGGCAGTTTATTCTTTTTTATCTCTTTCAGCACATCAAACATTAACTTGACACAAAGGAGATCACACTCCATAGATAACATCCCTGGGCGGGTCCTCAGGGCATGTGCTACAGAGCTGGCTGATGTTCTCGCCTCCATCTTCAACCTGTCGCTCTCACAGGCCACACCTACCTGTTTCAAAACCACCATCATCATCCCAGTGACTTGTCTGAATGACTTCAGGCCAGTGTCACTCACTCTGATCATCATGAAGTGGTTCTGGCCCATATACAGAGCAGTATACCTGAGACTCTAGACCCCTTGCAGTACACCCACCACCTTAGTAGAAGCACCTCGGACACACCTCTGCAGCCCTTCACATAGCGCTCTCCCTCCTGGAACACAAGGACACCGACATCAGGATGCTCTTCATAGATACAGCTCTGTTTTTAATACAGTTGTCCCTTACAAGCTGGAGTCAGGACATCACTACCCGCTCTGCAGGACATCTACCACTGCAGAGTCCACAGAAGAGCACGGACACTATCCTGGACTACACCTTAACACACAATCCCACCTGAATCCCCGTAAAGAGCCAAAACCTTTAGAGCAAATTTTGAGTCTCTGGAGTGTTTAATTTGTGATTTCACAATCAGAGCACAAAAATAAATGACTGATTAGATTATATTGAAAACTGTACATTGATATCATAGTTACATTGTCAATAATTTCTTGATTACATTCTGATTATGTCTTTAATTTAATCTGATTATGTCGTCAATTTTAAAATGATGAAACTTTTCTTGATCACAAACGCTGTCAGCCATTGAGACAAGCACCTGATGGACAAGTGCTCCACCTTGTGGCAGTGATAAAAAGAACATTTCATTCCTGCCTGTCCTGATAGCACACATACAGTATGTGGGCCACTTCAGGCACTTCTGGTCTTCTTATGGCCCAGACAAATAGATATGAGCCTAAAGTCACAAATCAAATAGCAAATGTGGCCCAAATATCCAAAAACTAATGTGGGCCTTTTCTGGCTGACATGCATTGTAATCTGGACGTGAATCTAAAGTGGCCCATGTGGTAAATGTGGCCCAAATATCACGTAACTAATTTGGGCCACCTTTGGCCCCTTTGGTTGAGATGCTATGACTTGCTATGGCTCACCTGTGCTCAATCTGTCCTCTCCAACTATCCTAGAAGACGTGTTACATTGATTTTGTGGGTTTGTGACGTCCAGGGCCGTCTTGGAATTTTTCAAACATTCAAGTTTCTGGTTGAATTTTCTGTGTCTATTTCAAGCTTGGGGCTGCAATAGAAGACAACAAAGATAAATACAAGTTACAAAATCATATCCTCCAGTGTACACAAGTGAAAGTTTTGTTTATTGGGTTACGATGACAGAACTGAGGTTAAGTCACATCCTGTAAAAACAGTTTATATCTTTTGATACTAGTCAAGATTTTAAGAAGAGACTGCATTGATATAAATTTACAATTATATAATTTAGGACTCACAATGGAAGTTTCAGTTATATTTTCTATAAGTAACAGCACACTTTTCAAAATCAAATTTCTGTAGCTCGAGGCATTTTTCCTATCATACATTACTCTACCTTGTGGGAAATGAACATTAATGCTAATTGTCAGACACGGGATGGATCAGTGTAAATGTCAACACCACTAATGAGAGAGTTTCCATGAAAGAGGACCAACCAAGCACAGTCTGAATAAGTTTTAAGTGAATCTTAATTACACTCATTGAAGAATCAGATGGTAGAATCAGATTTTATAACTCAAAGGTTTGATGATCTCTTTGTTCTGGAGGCCAACCTCCTGTTCATCATGGCTGCTGACTCGTTAAGTGACCGGGTTAATAATTCACATTAGAAATGTGTATTTACAAGTGCAGTGTGCAAGATTTAAGTGGATCTATCAGTGGAGTAAAACATAATATTCCTGATGAAGTTTTTATGAATGCCTTGTTGGATAGCTGTGGTTTTGTTGCCTTATCAAGAACATTTATCGGGAGGGGGTTCATTTTCTTCCTGTGCCTCTTTCTATGTCAGTGTAGTAACCAGAGCTGCGTTTGGAAGAATCAGTGTGTTTGCTTTAGGGTTGTTGTTTTGTTTTTTTTACCAGGAATCAATAGAGAAAAAATGGCCCCAGTTACACAATGTTTGAGCCCTGACAATCAATCCCTTTCACTTTATAACTTCATAATGGCACATGTAAGTGTATTAGTTACTTTGCATTTCAAGCATCTTCCCTATGAAGAAACATTCAACTAAACAGAAAAACAATTCAACATTTATTCTCCATTATCCGTCTCATTGTTGTTAAATAACCATGAAGCTAATATTTGGTATAACCGTCTAAAGTCAGTGGGTTTATTCTGTGATCGTGTTTCTGTATCTGGGACAAACAGGACAGAGATCAGCCATCACAGTTTAATGATTATCACAGTGTTGAAACCCCGGGGTCATCAGCTCCTGAAAAATACCAATCGATCATTATATGCACAAAACGCAGCTCCCCGAAGTGGGACACTTAGTTCACACTCATCAGACTGCAGTACAAGGAAGAGTGTACTGTTCTCTGCTGAATTTTAATTCCTTTGTTTTATTTTGTTGTGTTTGAGGGTGGAGTATATTCTGTGAGGCGACATGAAGCCAGCAGTGACTCTGCTGGGCCTCGTCGTCCTGCTGGACGTCACCTTTGCTGCAGAAAGTAAGTCGCTTGGAAAAATAAGTACTTTCTCATTTCATTTAGCGATTGTGTTCTGTCGCCACAGATCAGGAAATATACTAATAATCAAAATGTAGATGTTTATATTATAGTTATGTGACAATTAAATAAGAAAAGATTTTTAGAGCATGTTTGTGTGGGTACATCAGACAGGAATTAAATATATAAACATATAATGTCTTTTATAATAATAATATTTTTTATCTGAGGAATAATTGCCCATTTTTCGATGAGTATATTGCTATCAGAAGTCTTTTACTACCTATTATCAGCATCGGCCCCCAAAAAAGCCATATCGGTTGGGCTTAAATGGATTTTCTACAAATTAGTATTGTTGTTATTATTATTATCAGTGGCATGTTATGCTGTTATAAAAATAAATTGATTATGTTTGCCATACAGTACACCTGAGCATATAAAAATGATATGTATGTATTAATCCCTGATGGAAAACAACATCTTATTAAAATCTGTTTTAAATTACTAAATTGCTAAATTGCTTTTTATACTAAAGAAAAATATGATAAACTCATTAAATAATGCTGATTTTTTAAATAAGCAGCATCTAGTCTTAGGTCAGAAATTTCCCCCAAACCTACTCACAACAGTTTGAGGCCTGAGGATAAAACTATCCATTATTTCACAAAAGCCGCAAATATTAGGAGAAAAATAAATATAAGCAAGAACATACTGGGAAATCAATATATTAAAAAAAATCTACTCAGGCAATATATACTCTATACCTGAACCATAGGGCTCTTTCTCTATGATAAGACGTCTGTACTTTCACTTGTGTGGAATTTTAAATGCTGAATTTTATGGAATTTTATGTTGCTGTGTTCTTACTATTACTGAAGTTTAGTATCTGAGTACTACTTCACAGTATCATTGTTGGACAATGTCTCCACAGGGTCCTGTGTGGATCAATGTGGCTCCTTTGATCCAGAGAGGAAATGTCAGTGCGACTCCATGTGTGTCTACTATAGAAGCTGCTGTAAAGACTTTGACACCGTCTGCCCCAAGAAGGGTCAGTAGAGTTTCAGGATGTTGCCATAAATACATTGTATCATGAAAAAAAAATGATAAATAGCTGAAATGTTTAATTTCTCAGATAATGAAACCTTTCTCCACCCTCAGTTGCCCGGGGCGATACCTTCGAGGCAGAGTACGTCACAGAAACTGTGACGACTGCGGCTACAACTGTTGCACCAATTTTCCACCCAACTGCAGCAGTTGTCACTCTCCCACTCAACGCCACACAAGGCCCCACAGCAGCTGCAGACCCTGACGCAGCGCCCTGCAGCGGTCGAGCTTTTGATGCTTTTCTGCAGCTGAAGAATGGCTCCATCTATGCTTTCAGAGGTAAAACTACAATACTTACAACACTGACCTTTTGGTTGCGGGCAGCACTTTCTCCACAGTCCCCAAATGTTTTTCAATGTTTTCACAAAACCAACTCATAGTTGGTTTTAGCCTGAACAATGTGCTCAGACAAATTCTCACCTCAACACTTAATATCAACTTAATTTGTCATAACTAATTGATCATAAGTTGTATTGTGCATTGTCTGCGATGTAGAAAAAGGTCGGACTTGGATCAACATGAACCACAATATCCATTTACACTGATTCTATAGAAGCTTCACACACACACTGCCTCTTCTTTGCCTCTGCATCTCAGACAGTTTGGGGAATTAACTGATTTACACACATGCATTTATTTAATATTACTATTAACTCTTTGCAGGTTATCCCGGTTAAACACATTTACTGAGTCTCTTGCGGCCTATAACTAATTCCTGGCTTTCCATCAATGCTTTTCCTCCTGTAGGTGAATATTTTTTCGAGTTGGACGACAGGTCTGTTCTTCCTGGTTACCCCAAACTCATCCAGGACGTGTGGGGAATGACAGGACCCATCGACGCTGCGTTCACACGCATTAACTGTCAGGGAAAATCCTACATCTTTAAGGTAGCAACTGTGAAGAGTATGTGACGCTATAAAGCTAATCGTATGTGTGATATTATTATTATCCAGAACATGGGAACTCATACTGATTCTAAAACTAGCTTTAAATATATTATGTTAGCATTGTTCTCTTTTAGGAATTAGGTCCGGTAAAAAGGGTGCAGTCATTGTCTCAGGTATTTATTGTATTCTGAGTGTTTTAGAAGCAGCCTCAAACCTCTTTTTTTTTGGATTTATTCTGTCTCAGGGCAACAAGTACTGGAGGTTTGACGGCGACGTCTTGGATCAGGACTATCCACGGCTCATTTCTGTCGGATTTGACGGCGTACCAGGCGACACTGATGCAGCGTTTGCCGTCCCGGCACCAAGCCACCGTGGCAAAGAGAAAGTTTACTTTTTCAAAGGTATTCATGAAGAGATGTCTGGTGTTTTTCAAGTGCATTGTGTTGACTGTGATGACCCCCAAAGAAACAATTAGCAATATTGTAAAATCAACATGTCCTCAGTTGATTATATCTCATGCTTGTTTCTCTCTCCAGGGCACAACTATTACGAGTATCAGTTCAAGCATCAGCCTTCCCATGAGGAGTGTGTCCGCATGAGCAGGTCGTCGCCGTCTGTGCTGTTCACGAGATACACGGATCTCTTCTGCGATCAGACGTGGGAGGATTTCTTCACGGAGCTCTTTGGAAGCTCCTGTAAGACTCAGCTGTGTTTTCTTCTTTATACATAATGTTTATTTGTGTAGAGGAGCAGGTAAATGGCAATAAACCAAAATGCGGTTTTAGGGGTACATGTAAATAGTTTCTTACCATACTTAGTTTCTTCCTCCTTCAGTAAGCAATCCCTACACTGGCCCTCGGGTCATCAGTCGGGACTGGCAGGGCATCAGGTCTCCTGTAGATGCTGCCATGGTCGGGAGAGTCTTCCTCAGCCCCACACCCACGCCACGGCCCACTCCAGCAATGAAGAGGCGGAGGAAGAGGCCCAGCAAGAAGCGTGGACAGCGAAGACGGCAGAGTCGCCATGTGCTGTTCGATGATTTCTGGGGTTATGATGATTTGTTTGATTACGACTACAGTGACATCGTCGATGACATCACCACACAGGAGCGCAAGAGCACTCCTGTTCAAAATGTTTATTTTTTCAAGCAAGGTACGAACACATGGAATCATTTTATTCGCTCAATCAGACTTTCTTTCCACCGAAAAGGGATAAAGACGGTTCTTCCTTTAACAGCTTTTTGTTTTTGTGTTTCTTTCCTTTTTTTAATAATGGCAGATAAATACTACAGAGTGAATCAGCAGACGAAACAAGTCGTCGCCGCCATGCCGCCATACCCACGATCCATTGCGAAATACTGGCTGGGCTGCAAGTTCGAGGGGACACCAGATGAATCCAGAGCAGAGAAGAAATAGGCTGCCTGAGGAAATAGATAGAAATCCACTCTGTGTTTTAAATACAAGTTTGTCTTGAAGTAATTACAGTATGAATTAATGATTATGTGAGTTATTTTTGTTGTTAAAGCATTTTGTTCCCAATGAATACCCCTCTAATGTCCCCTGAGATCCTGTGTTGACAAAACCTCTTCAGTCATAAGTAATTTGCAGCTGAACAAGCAAGAAAGGATTTTTCCATGTTTAGTGATGTAGTATTAAACATGATGTAGTATTAAACGTGATATAGTATTAAACGTGATGTAGTATTAAACGTCCTCACGTGTGAGTACTCGAATAAACGTGTAATTAAAAGATGATCTTTTTGTTTTCAAGCACATCGACACCGGCCTTGGCCCATTTAACCAATAGTGTTCTCAGCCCCTGCATGTCCCTAAGCAGCTTTAAACAACTGCCCCCGAATTGCCTGTGCACGGCCCTGCAGAAATCTGATCGCAGTTATTTTCATGTTGTTGCTGCATTTCAGACTGAAGTAATGGATGTGAATACTTCCACCGCTGCTAACTACCCATATACAGAGTATTGACCATATACTATATACCTATACCATTTATAATGTCACAGCTGCAGAGATAGTCTCACGTTTCCAGCTCCTACATGGTACTGCAGTACTCAGTAGCCATAAGTATTTTATAAATACTTGGTTTACACATTTTCAGGGTGGAAATGTTGCTTCTCGCACGATTCGTTAAAAAATGATGAAGACATTTTTAAAAAAGACAAAAAGGCACCGCTGGGATTCGAACCCAGGATCTCCTGTTTACTAGACAGGCGCTTTAACCAACTAAGCCACGGCGCCACGTGACGACACAGTTCGTTATTACTTATTATGTATAAAGTCAGACATATATGATGGGTTTTTGATATATATATATTTTTTTATTTGTAATTTCCTTATAATACACTTAACCGTATGCAAACATCCAGGTCCATACATTTATTAATCTACTCCTCTCCATGTTACAGTGCGATCTCTATCAATCATCCCAGAAGATAATCGATCATTGCTGCAGAAATTTCCAGATCGGACAGATTGAAGTCGCCCAGGTCCTGGAGGCACAGGTCGGACAGGTCGTCCGGGGACTGGTCGGTGCTACAGGAGCTCCGGTGGTGGTGAAGCCGCTGACTCTGGACGTTCTGCCTCGGTCGTGGATGAATGTCCGCACCGCAGCGGCTGCCCGCGGGCTGGGAGCCCTGTGCATCTCCAAGAAAAGACTCCTCCGTGAAGTCCCACTCGCTGAGACCACCGTGTGGGGACGCGAAGTCGCTGTAGTCTGTGGAGTCCGGGGTTTGGTAGTAATGGTCTTGGGGAACTTGGTCTGCGGCGACTGGAGATGTGAGTGCGCGTAGGGACATGGCCTGACACCCCAGGATGGTGGAGAGCCGGGTGGACTGGGGCAAACTTGGCGCTGGGTAGCCTGGAGGAGACGGGAGGCTGGGTAAACTTGAAGAAGGGTAGCCTAGCGGAGACTGGAGGCTGGGTGTGGGGGAGAAAGCGGGAGACAGCGGTGTGATGGGGGCTGGAAGGTATGTGTTTTGGGGATGAAAGTTCCCCGTTCCGGTGGTGCCTGTAGGAACCACTCTGGATGGCTTCTTGCTCTTGAAATAGCGTGCGCGTCTATTTTGAAACCAGACCTGTTGAAGAGAGTGAAGGTGAGATGTTAACTTTTACGCAGTGATGGGGCTTATCCAAAGTTACGCAGGGGAAGTGCTTATCCAAAGTTACTCAGTGTGGCGCACTCATCATACCTGGATTTTAGACTCTGGCAGTCCAGTGACAGAGGCGAGGGACTCCTTCATTTTGATGTCCGGGTAGTGTGTGACAGAGAAGGCCGTCTCCAGCTCGCTCACCTGCGCCTTGCTGAATGTCGTGCGCTTCCGGCGGCGCTGGGTGTCCAAGCAGTGCCTGTGAGAGGCCTCGTGATGAACTACAGGGAGATAACAACATGTTAGATAACTGTTATTGTATTGAATCGCTTTTATTATCTCTAAAATAGGATTTGAGATTTAGGATGCAGAAAATAACTAGATTTGGCTCAAAGAACGACTTGGTGCACAATGACGGTGGATTAGACTAGACGTCACAAACCGAAATGTATATTATTTAAGCACAACACATGCAGTATATTCTGATTATCTCTGGTGCCTGAGCGAGTTTTGAAATTTAGGGTTTTCAGTCACTCACCTCGCTTTGGATCCTGTGCGTAATCGTCGTCGATGTTGTTTACATCCAGGCCTGAAGTGGGCCAATAATGTCCCGAGTAAAAGGAGTGCATATCAGAAGCATTGGTGCAAGTAAAATCCGATCCAAATGCCATTTTGGTTTCTTCTCTGGACTTCAAGCAAAAGGTGAAGCAGCAGTATGTCCCCGCAGGTCTCCTGGGCACTGGTGAACACTGATAGAGCTTAAGAGGTTTTTATACTTTGCTTGACAGACAAAAACGACCCCCGCACCCCCATCCCGCAACGAACCGCACCCTAGCGCGTGGCTTTGATGTGTCATTCACCTATTAATGGCTGCACGGCTAAAAGGTGTCTGTGTGATCCCCGAAGACCCGTTAATGTGCCAATTGAACCTTGTCCTGACGTACAGCATGAGGTGCCACATCACAACCCTGACACCCTCCACTAAATCTGAAGTTATATAAAATCTTCAAAATAAGAAAATAAACAGAAGGAACATATCATATGGACTGTGAGTCAACACCTGGGCCTGTTGGATGCATAGGCTCACATGTGGATATGGTTACGCACGAGTCTTGGGTGAACAATAATTTAAAAAAAACTATTTTATACAGTTGCTTTGTGTTATCTGCATCATTCTTAAAGTAAAATAAGCTATTTGGACTCACACAACCCTGTAATAATAACACGTCAGGTAAAAAGCAGCACAATCTTCCCTGGCACATCAGTCTGTGAGACATCCTCCTCTCCACAGCTCGCTGCCTCCTGGTGCGCACGTAGGGGATGAAAACACACTCTGTGGACAGTGGGAGTGTATTGAAGAGGTTGTGTGAGTGTGAGGCTTCAGTCAACTATAATGTGTCGAGGTGACAAACTTTTTCTCCTTCCTTGTCGCTTGCGCTTCCACCGATCGAGACATCAAAACACCGGATAGCGCACAGATCCAGACGCTTAGTGCCAGACTCAGGAGCTGGATTTAAATATACAAACACGAGGGTAACTTTTATGATCATAACTGGTAAAGTTCACATGGATGAAGCAGGTTTTTCTAAATCCTCCCCAAACTTTAATACATTTATGACTGAATACATTTTTACACGATTTTATCTGAACAATAACTTGTTTTGAAGATTATTCCTGATTCCAGTTTTTATTATGGTATTGTAACTCTTGTGGGCGTTTAGTGTGTTTATTCTTTTGTGTTATCTTTTATAATTA